TTCAACAAATAGGTTGATTTGGAACAAAATTGAATCACTCAACATGGATAGAGTGAAATAGAGCTTCATACAACTTTTGAGTTGTAGGAAGATGGGAATTTCTCTACAACTTTTTGGTTTGCAGAGAATAAATGGGGAGATGCAACATGAAAGTTGCAAGGTGGAAATATTTCTTTGAACATTTTAGTGTTGAAAAAGAAAGGGACATTTACCCCTCTAACTTGAGTCAGTGAGATGAGAGGGATCTCTACAATTCCTTTTGAGTTGTAAAAGAAGAAAAAGAAGGTGCAACTTATGGGTTGCAAACTTCTGAATTCCCTTTGAACATTTGATGTTCAAAGAGCCCGTACACTCTCCTAACTTGGGTTTAAGAGTGAAAGGAAGAAAATAAGATGCAACTTGAGTTACTAACTCTTGAAAGTTCTTTGAACATTTAATCGTTCAAAGAAGAATATATACTCTTCTAATTTAAGTTAGAAGAATGAGAGCACTTTCCTACAATATTTGAGTTGTAGAAAGGGAGAAACAACAAGAAACTTATGAGTTGCAAGTTGAAAGGAAATCCCTTGAACGTTTGATATTCAAGTGGAAGATGTAAATTCTCCCAATTTTGGGTTTGGGAGGATAATTAAGGACTTCAATATTTCCTACAATTTTGTCTTGTAAGAAAGAGGGAAGGATTTGGAGAATTCCCACAATCTTGGCTTGTTGGAAAGGGGAAGAGAAAATGCTATTTGTGCATTACGAGTCTATGAATATCTCTTGAACATTGAGAAGACATCATTCACTTGGTTGAGGTTGAGTGAACAGAGAAAGGGGACTTAGATTTGAATCACAAGTCTAAGAGATTCATTGGTTTTGTGTTCCAACGAATGAGTGATTTGATAAACTCCATACAATTTTATAGTTGAAGGAGGGAGATGTAACTTTGGAGCTACAAAATCTCACGAATGCTCTTTGAATACTTAGTATTTAAAGAGAAGATCATTCACCTTGTTGAAGTCGAGTGAATGGAGATAAATGCTCATTTTTTGATTTTGTGACTCAACAAATAAATGAGGTAGCTTAGGATTTGGCCCTAAGCTCCAAATAATTCATGTAATGATATGTTTGGAGACTTAAGAGGTCCCAAATAATCATGCATGAAAGAGGGAGATTGTTTGTTAATTTTGTCTCAACAAACAAGAGGTGGGTTACGTAGAATTTGCTTCTAAATTTTAACCATCATGCAATGATATTGATTGGAACCTTTGGAGGCTCCAAATTATCATTCATGAAAGAACATATGTTGGTTCGAAGTCTCAAGTGATTCATGCAATCCAACTATTGGAGCTTCGAGAATGCTCCAAGCATTATGCATGAAGGAGGGTGGATAAATGTTTATTGATTTTTTTTGTATCAACAAACATAATGGTATGAACCTAGGATGTTTATCTTAAGTTAAAATGATTCACGCACTATAATAATTGGAGCCTTGGTAATGCTCCAACTATCATGCATGAGGGAAACGGACATAGGGAAGAGAGCTTCCTACCTTCCTACAAATGTTTTGGGCTCATTTGAAGAAGGGAAGGATACACCTTAGGGCTTTGGAAAGGATTCCTAAATCAACTTTGACATGATTAGGAAACTCGAATGGGAGAGGTTCACTTGTTACTTTTGTGTTATCAACAAATGAAGAAATAACTTAGGATTTGGTCTTAAAGTCTCAATGATTCATGTGGTAAAATAATTTAGAGCTTTGGGGGTGCTCCCAAAATATAACACATGAAGGGGAATGATTATCATTTATTAATTTTGTGTTATTAGCAAATGAAAGGAAATTTAGGATTTTGGAGAGATCCAAAATACAAGATATAAGAAGGGTTAGCAATAACTCTTGAAACATGTTTTGGGTCAAATGATGGGACATTTTGGAGCACTTGCGGAAGCTCTGAAAGTCATGCAATGATATGTGTTTGGAGCCTTGAAAAGGTTTCAACCATCATGCATAGGAGGGATGGATGAATGCTTGTAGATTTTATATTCACAAGCAAAAATATATGAACCTAGGATTGTTGGAATCCTAAGTTAAGATCATTCATGCATTGAAAAATTTGGAGTTTTTAGGTGCACCAAATTATCATTCATGAGGGAGGGAAGACTCTACTAGAGAGCTTCCAACACATTGAAATGATCCCCAAATCAATTTTGGCATGATTTGGGTAGGAAGGAAAAGTCCTACAACGTGAATTTGAAAGTTTCTAGGAATATCTTAAAGATCCATTTTGACAAGATTTATGAGAAACCTAAAAGTAAGCACATGATGGTTTGTAGCTCCTAAGGTGGAGCTAAAATTCACACAATCTAACATTTGGAGCCTCGAGGAGGCTCCAAACATCATGCATGAAGGGGAATTATATAGGGAAGAGGGTTACCTAAGATTTGAATTGATGTTTTGGATCCATATGGAGAGGGGAAACTTGATCTACTACGATTTCTAAGAGGTTTCAAAATCGGATTTGACATAAACTAAGGAACCTAGAAACACACAAATGAAGTTTGTATGTTTAGGGGGATGAACATATGCTAAGTTAGATTATCATTGCATTCATATGTCAATTTTGTCGTGACGGCTCAAATTGGATAACTACACATGTAAATCTCATGTTTGAATGCTACCGATGGATATAGGGAATACGCATCTAAGGTTTGGAAAATATCCCAATCAAGTTTTGGTATGATTGGTGGATAGAAAACATGAATGAAACCCTCAAATTTTGAGAGATTTCAAGAGTTAAAGAGAAGGATGACCCATTATCTTTTTTCTAGGCTTCCCTAAGTGTGAGTTCCTACACTTGCATGTTAATATTGTCACAATATGTCAATCTAAGGAACCTAACCTAGCATGCGATGCTGTAAAGAAAAGTCTACATCCTAACATTCAACTTCTAGGTAAAATAGAATGGCCTAACCTAAGGTTCAATCATAGGTGATGGAGGAGGTGCATGAATGTAAAAATCATACTATTTGGGAGGTGTTGGACACTAATCCAACACCTCCATACGCTTCAAAATCCTCTCCGGGCTCTCACATAATAGACAACAAATGAAAATCACCAAATTTCAATTGTTTTGCGAAGAGAACATCCAACGAAGGATTTCGGGAGAGCAAAAATTGAAGTTTTCTAAGGACCTAGGGCTTGGCGGCGTCAACCACACATCAACGACTAGGGGGCCTTACGGCTTTTCTTAAGTTTTAGTGTTTTATCTCTCTTGGGTTGTCCTAGCGCTCCTATCAAAGTTTCGGCTCACTGTCCAAGCTCCAATCCAAGTTCCAAGTGTTGTCCAAGCTTCGGATCGCTGTCCAAGCCTCTCCGGACGTCGTTGTCGCTGTCCAAGGCGTTTTGAAGGCTCCAAACCGCTGTTTGGATAGTTTCGAAGCCTTCCCTTGTTGTTTAGAAGCTTCCAACAGACTCCAAGTCGCTAAAACTCGCCGGAGTTGAAGAAGAAAGGAGTAGAAACCTTTCTACGGAAGAAATGCCACACGGATTGCAAACTGGGTGGAATCGAGGTCTTCGGATCATATCAGGGTCGCGGCTTCAGGAGGTTTGGCGGGTGAGGGAGGTAGAGCTCCTAGAAGACCTGGCTGAATGTCTAGGTGGAGTCGGACTTGAGTTCCGCACGACTGGGAGGTCGCGAACACGGAGAGATCGTGCGAACAGGGGCTTCAGCGTGGGCAGGGGTTCTGCCTGGAGCCTTTCCTCTCGCTCTCCTGACTCTCTGAGTCGGGACGAACAGCACAAGGGGAGCCGAATAATGCTCCCCTCTCCGTCTCCCGCTCCTACACGCGAAAAAATCACACTTGAGTGGATTTTCTGCTACAGCCGCGGAAGTCAAACGACTTGACGGAAAACAGAGCTGGATTCTAGAGGAAATCGAAGCCGTTCGATTCAAATCTTGACTTGGGATTTGAATTGAATCAATACTTGATGAATTGGGCTAAAATTGGATCTGAATTGGACCCAATTTGAATCGATTAGAGTTGATTCGAGCCGAAATGGGTCAGATCGAGCCAATTTTACAAAATTGGGCTCAAATCGATGCCGAATTGTGTCGAATTTGGTTCGACGAGGCTCAAATGGGTTTGATTCGACTTGATTTGATTTAAATTTAATTAAATTGAATTTAATTTAATTAAATTAGGGTTTAATTTGGGTCAATTTCGCTTCGACGACCTTTGATCAAATCGATCGAGTGCGGTCGAGTCCATTCAGGCTCGATCGGGGTCGGGTCAATGTGAAAATATGCGTCAACAAAGAGTACATGTTTTGAAGATAATGAAAACACCGGATTGCTATTTTTAAGTGTTTTGGAAAATAAGCTGCTTTGTTTTCCAAAAAATAAAAAAAACCAGAACATTTAGAACATTAGCCAAACAAAATAAAAACAGGGGGAAAAAAAACTAGTGCCAAATAGGCCCGAACTTTAAGTTAGACTTCTGGTTTGACTTGGACTTAGAACTAGGCTTAAACATGTCTCTAATAAGTTTTCGCAAAAACCTTCTTGATTAGTATACTCATCAAACTTGATAGTTATGTCTTTTTTAGTTCCGTGTTTCACTTAAATAACCACTAGATCGGATCTTACACATTTATCTTCACTGTACATACCAATTTTTTATTACCATAGTTGGAACCTTTTTACAAATTTGATTTTTTTTTTGGGAAATTCTTTCATCATAGCGAAATCAAGGTTCCTTGGGAAATTTATTTAGATTTACATAAGAAATATGCTGAAACCCAAATTTGGATTCTTGCATTATTCATATATTATGTAGTTTGCTCTGCTTTATAAACTAAGTTGTCAATAAATGAGGCTTCATGGTGCATGTTTCTTTATGGTCCCTTTTTTTCGACTAGCTGGTGATTTGAAGCATCTTAGTCCAACTTGCAGAATTTTCCTCTTCCGTTATTTTGCTTACTTTAACTTAATTTGTGCTTTCATAAACTGTTCATTTAGGTCGCAAGGATTACCAAACAGAGTGGACTTCCAAAATTAATTCCTCAGGTAATTTACAATATCATAATTTGTTTAGGCTTTTCTCCAAAACCATCTTAGTTTTGTCAACAATCTATCTATTATGTTGTTCCTCAGATGTATGGATCTGTTTGGTGTGCTAGGGGTCATAATTGATAACTAGCTAATCTATTCATGGTAGGTCTCAACTGACTCATAATTTGCATTTTGAGATGATCTCTACTTTAGAAAGAGTATTACGTCACTCATTGTGATATTGCTGCTCACTTTCTTGGTGAGAGGCTTATATAGATCCTCAATAATTCTAGATGCATTGAGCATGTTCGGCATTTATGTTTTGCATCCAACACTCCTCATCAAGCTTATTAAAATGCATTATTTGACAAAGGAATATTTTTTGTCTGCTGGATATTCATGATGGTAGGAGATTTTATCCTCTTAGCATTATAAATCCCACGCACATATGGTTGATAGCAAGTTAGCAACACATAAAACACGTAGAAATTTTGGGAGGGGAGAAATTATGGGGATTAGCCTAGTTAAAACGACTCCACTGATATGAGCCAAAGAGTTAAAAAGAGGCTCTTGCCTATAATTGGAGAAGACGTTAATACAATATCATAAATTTAAAATTTTGAAGATATCGCTTGCTGTGGTAGTAATAAAAGCCTTCAGGTGCTGAATTTATCATCAGGATAAGTGGTTGGCTTGTTCGGAGACCGAGCGGATGGGATGCAGTTAGGCGTTTTTGGTTGATGGATGTTGTTCATTAGCAGGTGTTATGCGATGGTCAACTGAGAATCTCATAAGTTGAATGACGATTGACTTGGTCATTATCCTGATAAGAGGGGAGATCTGATGACTGGAAGACATGTTTCAGATGTTTTTCTTTTTTAGGCATTGTACAACAATAGACTGGGAATGTTGAAATTCATGTGACCTTTGACGATCAGTTGGGTCATTCTTTTGATATGAGGGGCGACTTGATAGATTGGTGTCAAATGCTGGTAGCTTATAGATATCAAACATCGATTGTTTGTTGTCATTAGATTGAAAAATAGGGCTCTGAAATTCTCCACGAACCCTAGATTTATCCTTGTCAAAATTTCTCTTTTGAATGTATAGAAATATTTTCTGATCATTTTTTGTCAAAAATTTTGACACTCCTTCGGACAGTTTGAGAAGCCCCTTTGATCATTTGATATTTCTTTGGGGATCTCAATGTTTTACTGAATTATAGATCTGAATGATCTTGGAATCATTAGATACATCTCATCAAGATGTTGCTTCTGCCCATGAACACAAAATTTGGAGGAAAGTTGACTCCACTCCCCCTTCTTCCCTCCCAAATTGATTCAGGAAGTTTCTAATTAAGATTTCGAATGCTTCATTTAGGAACATTGGAACTCAAATCTTGACATTATTGTTATTGTTGGTTCGTCTTGTTGAACTGCACTGTTGATTATAAATTTGTCAAGAATGAAGTTCTGATGATCTAATAATCAATCTTGAGGTCTATGATGCACAAATACGACACGATGACATGGATACAACACAGACACAGGACACATCAGTTATTGAAAATATAAGACATGGATACGGGTTAGACACGGTATTATAATTTTTATATTTAAAAAATAATGTATAAAAATTGAATTAGTATAATATTAAAATTAGTTTAGAAATAATAAGTCATTTAACTATAATTTGTATTTAAAATGATTAATACTAGGATGTCAAAAGTCTGGTGTCGATGCTATGTATCAAGCATTGAGAGAGGAGACGGCAATGCTATTGAGAGTCGGGCATTGATGTTATGCAGTAAGTATCGGGCGTCAATGTCAAGATGGCGTTTGTCGTCAATGTTGAGAGGCGTTGGTTGTCAATGTTAAAAAGATGTCAGACAAAGATGAGCTGTCAAGTTGTGGCTGTAGAAATTGCTAGCGTCAAGCATCAACGTCAAGACAGTGTCAAACTTTGATGTGGAGATGGTTTTGAAATGTCGATGTTGTAACGACGTCAAATGTTGATGTTGAGATGACATCGGACATTGTTATGAAACTAAAGTTGCAATCCGTCAAAGAGAAATGAAAATGAGAATATTCTATGAATGGGGTATTGAGTGCGGGCAATTGATTTGGTGGTGTGGATAAGAAATAAGAAATTTAGTTTTTATATTGTATATAAATAAATATTTTAAATATAAGAAATTATATTTAAAATAATTCATAAAATATTCAAGACTAGTGTGTCGGACATGCGTGTCTAAATTGTATTTATATTTTTTAATCGGATACGTTTTTGGCGTGTCTGACACGTATAGGGGTGTCGGACGTGTGTCGTGTCGGATATGTGCATGCCTCTTCGAGGAGAAGTGTCGGTGCATCATAACTCGAGGTTTATGTCTTCAGCTTTATGTAATTGTTGTTATATGGGTTAGCAGGTTCTCATTTCAACTAATTACTTCACATAAAACATGCAGTCAGGCTATGGAGGTTTGTTATCAACAAATTTCTTCTCAAATGGTCCTCTGAAAAGATTCTGATACTTGCCTATTTTGGTCTCTTGGATTCAGTTTTCGAAAGTTTTGGCTGGGCCATTAAGCATGGGACTAAAATTACGTATAAATAGTAGTGTTTCTTTGATGTGCTTGCCTATTTTGTTCTCTTGTCTTCAGTTTTCTAATCAGGCTCTGCTATGGAGCTGGATAATTCAATATTCTTCACTGCAAGTGGCACTAATCATGTACAGCTGCAACAAAAGTCCTCCATATTGTTCTTTCTTTGAGGATTTCAGCTAACAAATGTGCTCTTCTGCAACTGAACACCTTTTGTGCTGCTGAGAGCCGTCATTTGTTCTGTTTGGATTCTGCTTACCTATGTGAATTATATTCGTATTGTCTTTTCCCCTGCCTAATGTGTGATGATTTTCACTCTTGCACAATTAGCTGGAAAACCAGCAGAAATTTCTTGTGTTCTAAAGTTTTAGGGTCAGTGCACTGTGGGGGGAAAAAAAATCCCTTCTACCATGAATTTGGGCTCAACAGAGCTTGCCTCAAAGAGGAAGAAGAAATATGCTCAGAAAGTTGGTCCAATTGTGGTATCAGTTTTTCACAATATGCTGCCCTTTTATATGTGAGGATTGATACTTATGTGTGAAGGGTTGTATTGTAATGGATTCTGATATTATAGGGTGCAGGTGTAGCCCCCAAATACTTGCACACTGACAAATTTTTGTAATAGCATATGAGATCCTTAACGATAATTTGTAGGATAACTATAAATATTTATATTATAATTTTTTTTTTTGATAAAATGATCAAAATTGTCCCTTTGCTCTTTATGAACAATCAAAATAATCTCAAACTATATTAAATAATTATTTTGATCATTGTTTAAAATTGCGCAATATGAGGTTCGCCTCAATGCAATTCTAGTGAAAAGCGCCTCGAGGCTTGTGCCTCGTGCTTTTTTTGTGAGGCTTACGACTCATCTTGGCTGCAGCTCGGCTCGCCTTGCCTTGCTTGCATGAGGCATACACCTCGATCTATTTATGTATGTTTTTTATTTGAAATTTAGCTAAATCTTATACAAAAGCCCCCAAAAAATATGCCTGCTTGCACTCCCAAGCTGTAGCAACTTCCTCTCATTAGCCTCAACCTTCAGCCCACCGCCTTTGTCGTAGTCTTCGTCGGGGATCACTTGAAAGTCAGCATGCCATCATTGTCTTCTCTAAAAATTTTGGAGTATTACTCTTATCTTTATGTTGATGACAAATATTTATGAAAAAGGAAGATGATTGAAATAAATGAAAAAGAAGTAGATTTGGAGGTATTGGACCCTAAAGGATGAGGTAGGGGAAAGACTAATTTGCTATGACAATAACTCAAATAAAAATCCCCTTAGTAGTAATAGTACAAATGATTTCTTAGATGTCAATTATTACAACTTTCTTTAGTAATTAAATGTAGATGAGTAGGAATTGAGAAAGAAAAATTTAGAGTTGAACTTGATGTTATATGATACATTTATATAATTCATAAATTTTATGTTATTTTGCTCTTTTAATATTTGGATTTCATCTTTATTTGGCATAATTTATTACTTATCACTTTACATATTGTGCAATTTTTTTTGTTTCACATGTATGTAAATTTGTTATTTAATGGTTCAATTGAAAATTAATATGCTATCCTTCAACATATTATTTGAGTATTATATAAAAAATCACATTTAACTTTTATTTTTTTATCTTACGCTTTTCTTAGATTTTGAGGCTTATGCCTCAAAATGCCTTGAGGCTTACGCCTTGCCTTGTGAATGAAAAAAACTTCAATACACGCCTTGCCTTGTGAATGAAAAAAACCTCAATACCCAATTGAGTAATTTTAAACCTTGATTTTGATCCCCCAACTCTTTAAGAAGGGAACCAAAATAATCCCATAATGAGCCTATTTTGATTTCTTTTTAAAAACTTTAAGGGATTATGATGACTTTTTAATATAGTTGGGGGGTTATTTTGGTCTACCATAAAAAGTCAATATACCATTTTTATTATTTTTCTACTGTGTTTTTTTAATTGTATTGACTTTTGGCTGATAAAATAGAAATAGATGCCTCACAAAATATTCATTCTTTTTATAAAATGTGCGTTTTTTCTTCTTTATTATTATTTTTAAAATAAGGGACAACCTCCAAATTGTATCCTATATAGCATGAACTTACTGCGCCTGCAAGGTGACAACCTGTGTTCTTATCTTAGAGTAATTGTTGCTATGGCCTTTATTCTATTGTGGTAGATTAGTAATCACCTTCATAGGTTGTACCTTTGAGGATCTTTTGAGAAGGCTTGCCCAACGCTATTACAAGTAAGTGGTTTTTTTAATAGATATGATTTTTTGCAAAATTTCAAGGTGACAATGGTTGGAGGTTTTAAGTTGTGGGGCTTTGAATTTCAAGGTAAACTACTTGCTATTGGATTCATGTAAGAAGGGTTTTGAGTGTGAGTAATGGCATGAGTAGTATGTGAATGAGTGTTGTGGATGATGACCCCTTACTCTTATTGGCAAGGTGAGCAGCTTCGATTAGGTGGGCAATTTGTAGGTGAAATCTTAAGAGCTAGGTGCCATGTTATTTTCTTTCATACGGTTCTCCAAATCTAAGTTGAGTATATGGCTCATCAAGGGTTCTACTATTTTTATGATTTACTTCATTCATGGCTTATTTTTATTTGAAGTGGTAGTAGATTTTCCCGCAATTGACATGAAATAAATTGAATTGTGAAAGCTTATTATTTCAAGAGAGCGCACACATTTGAGAGTTGAACAAAGAGAGATATTAGGAAAGTATCATGCTTGGATTACTCTATAATTAGAGAAAAAAATTATTAGAAAAAAAAAAGAAACAAACAATTTACTATTAAAAATGTTCTCGAAGTTTGTCTAAGAAGAATCACATGGTCCCAAGTGGAATATTGAAGGGTAGCAAATCTCTCTTATTGGGAAACATTCTTTAGAGATGAGTGGTTTAAAAGCATCATGAGTGAAAATTTTAAGAGAGGTTCCTAAGAGACATTCCCAAGACTACTCTTGAGGGCAAATTATTCGGTGTGGTTATGTCCGGTCTCCAATAAGTGCAACACATATATCATCCACGTGTAATTTTTTTAAAACAAATATTTTTATTTTATGTCTTGTCAGCTCGCCCGACCCAACATACCCGATAAATTTGAATGACGGAAAGGATGTGAAATGGGGCGTTTTAAATTTCACCCGGCATTTTTACTTTGCCCAACATTTTTTCGATGTTCATCTTCTCTCCTTCCGTTCAATTCTCCAAAAGTTGCTTTGAGGGTTATTCGACATTCTCCAGGACGTAACCGGTTTGTAGAACCTCGTCGTCTTTGTCCTATATAAAGGTACGTTTTTGTTGCGCTTTTATTTCTTTTTTACTGCGTATTACTATATTTCGATTTTCTTCTCTATTTTTCAGGGGTTTAATGTGTACTAACACATTCTTTAGATAAATTTTTGTTTTCAAAGATTTAAATAGTTATTCTCATGGTATAGGATTTTTTTTTCAGTATTTCAAAATGATTTCTATGTCACTTGTTTTAATTGCACTTTTAGTGCGCATTTGTTGCGCTTTTACTGTGTTTTTTATGCGCTTTTACACTGAGTTATTTCTATTTTATTGCAAATATCTATTTATTCCCATCCTGTTACTTCTCGTTGCTACGTTTCAACCTTTAAAAGTATTTGTGACTCGTTTTGCGAAATAATTTTCAAAGATGTTGAGGACTCTTTGAGGTCTCTTGACATTCATCAGTTCTTAATGTTTCCACCATTCCAGCAAAATATAACTTTTATATATGAGTTGCTAAAATGTTGAGATAGCTCTAATGAAGGCTTTTTAATAAAATGTCATTTGCTCAAATTTACCACTGATGAGGTGGCTCTTCTGATAGGTCTGAAAAAAAAAATACTCAATTTTTATGTTTCCATATAGTCTATTCAATTAATATAATCAAATAATGCTCACAGGATTGCCAAACAGAGGTGTTGAGATCATATGGCTGAACAAGCCACTTATTGGGGTTTTATTTACTGAAATTAAAGCTGAGATGATAGAACTAAATAGATCAACTGATCAAGTAACTATGTTAAAAATATTTATAATGTTTCTTCTATCTAATTTATTTTTTCCTTTAAACATTCTTAAAACTCTTAGAAAACTCATTTCAATAGCTACTAATGTAGAAATATTCTAATCTATTTATTGGGCAGCGAGTATTCTAGGATTTTTAATCAATGAATTTAATTAAATTTCCACCAAGTTTGCTATGGAAAAGTCACTTGGTTACATAAATGGATTTTTTATCTCTCCCTTTGGTGAGTCCTAGTACATTCAAGTATAATTCTATAGTTATATAATCTTATTATGTTTCATAATCTAATATTACTTGACATTTTTTAATGCATGTATGATTCTTGAATCTCTTCGTTGTAAATAGACCTAAATATCCTGATTTAAGACTACGCTTTCTAAGATGGGAAGACAATACAGTTATTTTTTATTTTACAGAAAAGACACATTTTATTTGCTAGCATGAAGGAGAAACAAGTGAGTAATTATATTAGAAAATATTTCAATTGAAATTGAAGTTAAATAACATAAGCGAAATAAAAATGCAATAAAGCGCATTAAAAGTATGTACTAACATTAATTTATTTTTTTTTGCAGTTTGTTCTTGTCCTTCAGGCTGTTACTCAAGTGAAACCAGAAAATTTAAATGCTGGCTTAATTGCTATTGATAACAAACTTAATGGATCTCCTCATCAAACTCATCAATCTTCTGTTAAATCTCCTCATAGATCTCCTTATAAATTTCCAAACCAAATCCATTCATCAATTGTAAAGAAAATTAAACTCAAGACCCCTAAAGCCCATGGAAAACCCCTCCCTCATACAACCCATCAAGACCCCCCACTAGCTCAAGGTGAGAGTTGAGCTAGTGTTGAAAAGAAATTTGCTGCAATCATCACAAAAGTTTGCAATACAATTCAAGAAAATCTGGGCAACAGGATTGATAAACTTGAAGAAAACTTAGAAGAACTTGAAGAAAAT